ACTTATTGTAAAGTACGATGTCCGGCCGCCAGATGTGGTCGGAGGGCACGTGCAGCATCTCAACGCCTCCGTACTCCCGCGGCTCCCATGACAGCTTGTAGTCATACCAACTCTGCAACCATACCGAGCACAACGTCGGTTATATATAAATGAGCATGCTTCTCTTTCGAGGGCCGTGCGGTGGAATCATTCTATTTTCTCGCCCTACGGTAAGATGAGTAAGACAGAGTAATTTGACGTTGATATTGATAGCCTTTACAAATTACTTCAACAAACATACACAGTTCAATGGCCTGACATCTTTTGGATAATTAATATGGTAACATTTATTACATATGTTACTTTTTTTGCTACACATTTAGTTCATTTTGTAGTTTTTTTATTTTTTATTATAATCTTATAGTAAATATTTTAACCCCTGTGTGGCTGCTGTCGCATATTTTGTAAAATAAAGTTTCTTTCTTTCTTACATATGTAAAAAAAAGAATAATACGCTTAAGCTCCGTTTACCTGTTCCACCCAAAGGTTCGTCGTCATTATCTGATTCTTCAGATTCTGAAAAGGAAAGTTACAATAGATAATTAGTGCTCCGTAAGAAAAATAAAACAGGTGGCTACTTGTATACTGACACAATTGCTATGGCTCACAAACAGGAGTAGTGAGTACCGATTATTGCTCGAACGATTGTGAAACGTGACTAAACACAAGCATCATTTTGTTTATCATGTGCGTGTTCTTTCTAATAGTGTGTGTCCGTATTCCGTCCGTTGTGTCGGTGCGAGTTGACAGCGCTGCAGTGTGCACTCACCACGTCGATGAGCTGGCTCAGCTTGAGCTTGATGCGCACGGTCAGCGCATCGCTGACGTTGAGCACGGGCCGCACCAGCTTGTTGTAGTTGCTGAGCAGGTCGTCGTACAGCCGCTTGGCGTCCGGGTTCCCCGCGCAGCCTGCCGGTCAACGTTCAAACCTTTCAAACCCTTATACAATATTAGCCATTCTTGTTGTTTCTATGACTTATCTATTAATGTGATTGTAGGACAATAAAAATCGTTATTCTTAACCGATTTCAAAAAAAAAGAAGGGGTTCTTCATTCGTCGGTGTCTTTAATTTTTTTTTATTTTTAATGTATATTCCCCGATTACTCGAAGACGCCTAGACCCATACGAAAAAATCTTTTTTTGTTTGAAAGTATACATTTTGTGATTAGTCTCATAGAAGTTTTATCAGTCGGTTTAATGGTTTATTTTTTAAATTAGTACAACTGGATTTATTAAATAATAATACTTTATTTTACCACGATTCAAGTCGGATTTTTTTTCGTTGCAGGTGGCATGCAGTAGATGGATGCAACTGGCTTATGATCAAATTATCATTATTTTTTTATGCATCTTAGAATGGCAAATAAGCTGATGGCCCGCCTGATGGAAAGTAGTAACCATCGCCTATAGACATGAGCAGTACCATGCACATAACAATATTGTTTCGCCCATGATACCTCCTATTTGTTGCCATTCCTTAGGACTCAGGTGTTATTCCTCTGTACCCTGTAAATTCGCTGCCATATCCCACACTTCATACCGATACAAAGCCGTGCAAACACAATTGCTTCACGGTAGAAACATGAATGGGACAGAGACTTTTGTACAAAGCCTCCCTTTGGTAATTATCATTAAAAATGTGGATATCTTTATAACATGAATAGAACATATAGAACATCGCCTCAATACAGGCACTAAATACAATGAATTGATAGAAACTTCGAGATCAATAGAGAAACATCATATTATTCTAATTATACGAGAATAACACGCTTCTACTGTATAACATCGTAATAGAAACGGTACCTACATATGGTACTCGTACGTTCGTAATAATTCGAAAGCAACGAATGATATTGAAGGATCAACTTTTCGTACGCAGGAATATATGTTAGTTCGCATGAGTGATCCCGTGATGTATCCGCGACGGGCGGTTACGTGATCAATACAATAGGATTGACTCAAAAATAATTCGAGGAAAAGTAAATATTAGTCGATTTGATTAATACTATCGAGTGCGTTTAATTTTGGATTTTTCTTACCGTTCCGATATTGAAACGTTAAGGTAGCATAAAACCAAAATACAAATACAAAATTTTTGTAAACTTCAAAATTCAACAAGGAGTTTTTAAGTATATGGATTTTCATCAGAACATGACAGACTGATACCTGTATAGTTATGTGTAATAGTGGCGAGTGGGTGAGTGAGTGGAGCGTGTGGGCGGGGGTGGGTGGAGGGTACGCTGCGCACGCACCGACAAGTATGAGGGTGAGCAGCAGCAGCAGTGCCGCGGGCGCGGCGCGACGTGGCATGTCTGGCGGCGCATGGCGTCAGCGCATCGCGCCGCGACCGCGCGCCCTCTGCCTCTGCCGCTTGCCCCTGCCGCCTACCACCTGCCACCTGCCACCTGCTACCTGCCACCTGCCACCTGCCACCTGCCACCTGCCACCTGCCGCCACACAACACCCACCACAGACCTTTACATAACATATACTAATCATTATACACGAACAGCTAAATCAACACATAAAGATTCAACACTACAAAGAAACATCCAATTAATTATTTAAAAATCATCAAATGCGATTCAGATCAAAGATGTTTGGGTTAATATCATCATCATAATGTCAGGCTTTAATTGTCCACTGCTGAACACAAGCCTCCTCCTTGGGGAGTTTTGCTAATAGTTGCCACGCTTGGCAGGCGGGTTGGCAACCGCAGTTTGGCTTTTGGTGATGTTTGAAGAGGCACGCTGCTGTCCATCCCTCTACTATAAGCCTCTTAAGGTCTTTTGGGTTAATATGTAACACATACAATACGTTCGAATTGAGAACCTCGTTACTTTGATGTCGGTTGATAAATAAAATTATTTATTATCCATGCAATCGAATTACTTAATATATAAACATTTGTTATATTAATTTTGAACCGCAATTTTATCACATTGCAAAATAGTTATATTGACTTTTATTTGGGTAAATAAATGTGCATGCAAAGTTGAATCAATCAAATATAAAAAAAAAAATATTCTTTTTTATAGATCCACAAAATAAGTAAAACATGAAGGAAGAATACATTAAACAATGATTGCAAATCTGTTTTTAATTCACAGCTCAAACTGTTGCGTTTGTACGATAATTCAGATGCTGTGATCCGATGAAATAATATTCAAATGCATATGTTTATACATCACACATTGGAATTCATATATTCGTAAATATAATATAAGTAAATATTGTCGTCATCGGAGAAGTGTGTGAAAAGTGTTCAACTAGTTGTGTAAGAGTTATTTTACTACATCTTAACGATATCCGTGATATACGGACAAAGACACAAGCGGACAGACATGACGAAATTATAAAATTCCTAGTAAAACTTTAATAACATGGCCACGGGATTTAAACGGGGATATGGCATATTCCATATTTGGACATTAAGTATTATAATTATAATGTGTAGATGTGTAGGTGGGCGTGCGTGTGCGTGTGACCATTGTCCATGTACTGTATTAAAAAAAAATTGATCTGCCCAATAATTATTTATTTTAAGAATTGTATATAATATCCCATACATCTAATTCTGTCTAGACATTTAGAAGTTATATATAGTTAGTTATATTATATAGAAAAAGAATTATGTTTGAATATTTGTTACGAGTATGGACATAGATGTTTTAGACTTATCAACGCCATGGGTGTCACACACGCGAATACACTGTGATGCCTGTGGTGTGTATGCGACCCTCCATAGGTTACCATACTTGTGCGTTACTCGTTAGCTACTGCGTATGTCTGTATAGGCATTTTGAAACAGTCCAACGTTTTATAAAGTATATACGCGGATATATATATATATCCGCGTAGAGCGGTGTTGCAGAGTGTTCAATATGTGTAGGTATGAATTGATTGAAAACGATCATGCAGTGGTTGCATGTATAAAGCCTCACAACCGTGTGCGCCGCAGATCATACGCCAATTATGAATATACGCCTATAACCATCTCTTCTATTGCTTATACAATTAATAGTTAACATATAATTCATATAATAAGCTAAGACATTTAATCTATGCATATATATTAGGGAGTCTTAAGATATAAGGAAGAAATTGTTTTTCGTGGAATCAGGTACGCGAATCCTCCACTTTTTTTTTAGATTTGACCTTATCAGCTCATATAACAAATGTTATCGAGGTTGAGTAACGATGAGCCGTGCTGACTTGATGCTAAACGTACGTTATAAAATTGTATCGAGCTAGTTTGGGACGGTTTTAAAATGATGTTATTATGTGGTAAATAAAACACCAATACACTAAAATTTTTTTTACATATACTAATAAATATTTTACATTGTAAAGATATTATTTTCAAAATTTCACTTTCAGAACTTGCTTTTTGCTATCGTAATATACTCGTATCTAGTGATACTCTTGTACGCAGCTTGATATAATTTTTTTTGTTCCTCTTCAATCATTAAAAATCGAATCATTAAAATCTTGTACCAGTTTGACAGCTTTTTCAGCTGTGTTATTTATTCTCTTTAGTATTTATTTACTACACTCAGGTAGCACTTTTTTGGCTTCTCTAAACGAGGGATTATTTGATCATAAAATAGGGGTTCACTTAAAATACTGTCGTTGATTTTAAAATGCTCATATTAAATGACAATAAAGTACCTAATAAATGTTGTTCTTAATAAGGATTAATAGTTCGAGGTACTGAACAATATATTACATACGTATCTTCACCGAGTGGTCGAGGAGATGCCAATGACGGAGATCAGGACGGGTCAGGACAATTGTTTCTGCACTTTTAGTACTCTTAGTAGCACTTTTGATTTATGTAGATACTTAATAATTTTTAATTAAATACAACGAATAAATAAAAGGTATTTAACAAATAACATTATCAATTAAGAAATATGTCTTTGAATAATTGTTAGTATGAAAAAGGAGGAAATAAAATTTCGAAAACTGACATACTCATAAAAAAAAAAACCAGCTCATTTATATGAATATATTTTAAGAGAATTGCAGCTTGTTCTGGTTTCGTTTAACACAATTACTTAAATCAATAGCATTTTGTTTCTTTATAGAAATCTCTACAAAGCTCCTTTTCATGTAAAGGTAACAAGAAATAGAATAACAGCAAGATTTCGGGAACAAACGAATAATGTTACCTATATTAATAAACGCTACAACATTAAAGAGAAGAAAATATCCCTTACTTGCACATTTTCATAGCACCGCGTAAGGCAAAAGAAATGAAAGAATAGTGGAATAATATCGACAAAAATTGCTAAATATAATTATGTATTTGGATAAATCTCGGATGGCCGTTGTGTACGTGTTTATACTATAGCTACGTAGTGAGATGTGTTGCCATCTGGCACACAGAAGCGTGTACGAGATCGGTTTCGGGTCGTTTTTAACAACCCAGCGGAATTGGTCGTTAATTCCTGGCAGTATTGTTCAGTTTTGTTACTTTTCTAACTTTGATCGAATCGGTGGATTTTTTTATACGTTGTACAGTGATGATGGATAGTATCCAGTGCTCTATTGCTACGTAGTTCGAATATTACTATCATCGGTTTGATCACGTAATATCAAAATAGTTCTTTTTAAAATATTTAGGTATTTCATTATTTATACATAATATGAAAAACCAACTGAGAGTAGCTGAGAGGACAAAGATAAATACGTAAAGAAAGAGTCGTAAATAAAGGGCAGGTTAGGTACCTCTTACAGCAAATTGTAATCTAATTAATGTCCTTTAATTTGATTAAAAAGCGAAACGTTGCAACGGGCCGTGACCGTGCCCAACTTGTACGCTTTGCATAGCTACTGGATAGCTAGCTATTCATTGAAGAAAGAATTCCACTTACTCGACATGTACCTAGTTAAGATATTACATTAACTTTTAAATACAGATCACTATCACAACGATGTCGATACGCGACATGCGCGAACTATTTTAAATGTATTCCTAATATTATTTACTAGCGACCCGCCCCGGCTTCGCACGGTTGCAATACCGCACCCGCTATGTCCCTGCATTTTAAATCTGTAATATCTTCAGTAATATTCATTTAAATTACATGATGTAAAGGGCCATATTGATCTATATTAAATGGACAATGTATTTAAGGTACTTAATGTGATAAAAATTAATGCTGTATTGCTTAAAATCACTTCGTAAATAAGCCATCTTCTCCCGTAAAATGTAAAGGATAAAAAAAAATTGTTATTGTGGGTTATCCTAAAAGAATAGACATATGTATACCATCACGAACTTTTTTATTGACCTTTTTAAGGTGTATAATAACGTAATACATTATTTTTTATGTAAACGCAAAAAAAAAAAATGTGTTTATTTACGACATTACATTAGAAACCTCTAAATTTATCAGTATTTCTCTACAATATTATGCATATATTATACATATAAATCTTCCTCTTAAATCACTCTATATATTAAAAAAAAAACTGCTTCAAAATCCGTTGTGTAGTTTTAAAGATATACATAGATACAAAGATATGCATACATAGGGACGGACAGACAGCGAGAGCGACTTTGTTTTATACTATGTAGTGATTATGAAGCGTATAAAATAAAATTATGTTATACAAGTGTTATTCACTGTACATATGTACAGCTATAGGTACAGGGTTATTGTAACGTAAGCATATAGAAATAAACCATCAATCACTGTCGCCATCAATGATTCTTGAATAATTTATATCTTCTTATATGTACATTTTCTGCATGTATATCTTCTATCGATATAATAAAACTTTAACCCGACCATATTTATACAGGTACTGTATGTCTTTGTATACTTTTTTTTCAATAATAGAGGTGATAGAAACAGTTATAAACCTACGTATATGTATACTTCAGTTTCTCATACTCTTAATTTTATGTCCATACTCGTAAACTACTGAATTGTAACACATAAACTACTATTTAATACCTGGGTCAACATACTGACACATATAGCATTTAGTTCGAGAAAATATCTCATGAAATATTACGCTGATAATATTGAATGTTGCAGATTTAAATGCAATTTGGAAGTTGTTATTGGCGTAGTAAGTAGTCCTGTTCCAGTGCGATGAGTTACGATCGAAATAGACGCAGACGAAGTTGCAGACTCGACCCGTTATGTATATATTTCGAAAGAAACTCTACTTAATTGTTTCATAAAGTATCAGTAAACAACAAGTCGAACAGAGTTCGTTGCTAGCTCATCGAACAGCCATCGTATATTGTACGTGTGGCTGTTGTCTGGCGGCACAGGAACAGCAGCAGCTGCACTTTATTAGGGCTACAATAAAGTATATGAGTGGCGCGTGGTGGGGGCGTGGACATCTATTCGTCAAGATTACGTGGCGTGCTCTTGTATCAGACGTCAAGCAGGGCGGTGTGACGTGCGACGTGACCATAAGTCATATTATGACGCTGGCGACATTGACATTGTTTGTTAACAGACGGTTCATTACAGTAGCCAGCGTTAGACTGTATCGCAAATACCTGCGGATATTTTTCATCAGATTATATACACTCCACAAGCTAGGTAAAACATATCAATACTCCTAAACAAATAGAATCGACATACTCCGTACCAGGTACTATCAGCTTATCGCTAAAACATGTTGCGTAAGTGGTACTGCACGTATATTTCGGTCTGATAACGACTGGACGCGATCAGTCGTGGTAATAAACAAACCATTTTATTTACTTCATAAAAATATTCATTATCTTCTGCTATCTAGAGTATTACAGGAATATTGTAATATCTATTAAATAAGTTACACACTGCGTATACGTGAGGACAGTTTACAAAAGCCCTTTGCAATTTTGAGCAGCGCGACAACGCGAGCAGTAAGTACTGTTAAATAAATACTATTACCGCACTCACTGTAAAACTTAAACTTGTTCTTTCTAATTTGTGTCTAAACTGAACCAATGAAAGAAAAAAAAAATAATAATAAAAAGAAAACTGTTTTCAGTGAATCGCTGACTAGTACATTGTGACAATACTTCGATTAGGGAATCCGTGGATATTTTGATAATAATAATAAATAATTATAAAAAAAAAGCACAGATATCTCACCTATTACAGTGAAAGCTTTACAAAAAACAATCATAAATATTTTGTTTAGTTATATTTTAATAACAATTTCATTTTGTTACATACTATAGTATAATAGTTAAATAGAATATATTCTTGCCTGCAGCTCCTGAACAGAGTTAAGCGATATGGAACATTCACTGGACAGTATTGACAGTCGTGGTCACACACTGCAGCACACACGACAGCACTCAATACATAGATCCCAACACTCACAGCGAAAACATACAACGAACCAGCGAGCGGTAGCGGTAGCGGTAGGGTAGTCAGTGTCACGGGTGTACAGTGTACAGTGACACGAGGCCGCGGCGCGCGGCTCGTGGGACGGACGGCTCTCAGGCGGCAGCACCCGCGCCGCCAGCGGACATCGCCTCGTGCGGCCTGGCACCACCACGAGCGCGGGGCACACGACTCCTCGTCAGAGGCGGGCGCGCGGCATGACAGCGGGCGGGCAGCGGCGGCGGCGGCGGCGGCGGGCGGGTGCGCTGCGGGCAGGCGCGCCGACGACTGCCGCCGCCGCCACCGACTTCGCCGACGCCGCCCAGCGGCGCACGCACGCAGCGACGGCACCACGCGCGACTCCTCGCCGCTGCCGAGTTACGTTCTCGGCAAACTTTCTCCACGTACGTTTATAAACATTTGACGAGATTTATAATTAAAAATATTAAATGCCGATACGCAATGTTAGAAGTTAACTCAAAGTGATTGTTATGCTACTCGTAGGTAACGGAGGTTAATGACGTTCTCAATTCGGTTGGATTTTTTATGTTTGTTACTTTATACGTCCCTCGGTTACAAAGTGACTTGGAAACTTCTTTTTTTTTTAAATGAACGGAATTTTGTAATCATCGGTTTTATAGTTTAGTTTTTTAATTAAAATAACTGGTTTTACTGCAATTGAAGTCGATTTTCTTAGTGGAACACAATGTTATTATTTACTATTAATTTCCAAAGATTGACCGTATGTTCTCGGCATAGAATGGGCCACCCTTTCTTTTCCCGTGGGTGTCGTAAAATATGATTAAGGGAACTTAACGGTCGAGGGATGGGTAGCAGTGTTTCTTTTAACACATCTCCAAAAGCTTAAGTGCAGTTACCAACTCGTCTGCCAATCGTGCCAACTACTGGCAATACTCCTCTTATGGGGTAAGCTTATGCCCAACAGTGGACAGTTAATGGTTGATATGAAGAATTACCAAATATGTTACTAGTATTTCCCTAGTTATATTGAAGCCCGTAGGCTTTATTATGATAGTTTCTGTGGTGCTAAACGATTTATCCGCCTAAATTATATTGTGCAACTAGGTATTTCCAGCGGCTTTGCCCGCGTTGAACATAAAGTATCCTATGTGTTAAGTTAGTATATAACCTATCTGTGTACAAAGTGTCATTCGAATCCGTTCAATAGTTTTCGCTTGCAAGTATAATATCATCTTACAAACTTTCACATTTATAATATTAACATGCACATCCTATTGTACATCATACACTTGATAGAGTTGGGAAACTGGTACTGTTGTACTTTCATGAATTAGTATTGATTGATGATACAAATGATTACAGGTCAGTGACATCACGCGTCGATTAGTCATCCCTCTAAATACTCATTGTTCATCAGTTACAACCATAACAAACAGAACTTAAAACAAAAACTACCGTCATAAGGGTTTGTGCCAAATGTATATTACAGCATAGAGAGTGATTCCAAGCGCCAAGCACCGAACGCCGTGGCCGCATCACAAAGATTGCTGTTGATATATCAACAGCAATCTTTGTGATATCTAAACCGATTTTTTTTTAAATAGGTTCTTATCTTAAATATCACAGTCTATGGGGGAGGCCTATATCCAGCACTGGACGGATAATGGCTGAAATAATGATGATGATGATGATATAACCACTTATCTTTAGTAAAGTAACCACTTTTTTATTATTTTTTTATTCCATTCATAAATAGCTAACGTTTCGTGTTCGAATATTTCGCTGAAGCTCATCTCATGCCTGAAGTGGCCTGAATACAGTGTATCGAAGTAGAAATGTAGTAATATTCAGTTGAACGGAAAATTGAATCACTTGTTGTTGCCATATTTAATAATTTTTTAGATTTTTTGTAGATAAGTTTACGTATCTTTACATTTCTTATATATTTAAGTATAATTTATTAACTGTTTGTTCTGGTATAAAAAAAATGTGATGCATAAAAATGAAGACAATGTTTTAATAATAATATGCATGAGTTGTATGAGGCGACTAAGGGAATTTAATGGTCGAGGGATGGGCAGCAACGTCCTTCTTGAGACATCATCAAAGCCTAACTGCGGCTGTCAATACGCCTGCCAAGCGTAGCAACTGCTGGCAAATCCCCACTTTATAACGAAGGCCTATGCCCAACAGTAGACAGTGAACGACTGATATAATAATAGAAATAAAAAAAAAATGTAAAGAAAAATTTAAAAAATTGATGGATTCGTGTATGTGCGTGTATGTGTGTGTGTGTGTGTGTGTGTATGTGTGAGCGTGTGCGTGTGCGTGTGCATGTGCATGTGTATGTTTGTGATAATGATATAGCGAGAAATAGGCTGAATACTGAAATGTGTGTAAATAGAGTGGAACGGAACAAATATTACGCCGACTACAAATAATTGGAACCAGAGAGATGATGATCATTAAATTTTAGTTAATATGTGTAGTTGCGTGATTGGTTTGTAATCAGAAATCTAAAGTATATTATAAGCGGTAGGCCGCCGGAGAGCGGCGCGCGGCGCGCGGACGGGCGCGGAGCCGCCGCGCCGGCCTCCGAGTAATTTCCTTGCGCGGTATCAATTAAAACTTGCTTGATATTGAGCACCCGATATCCGCCGTAGCTACTAATCGAACCGCCCACATCTCGCTGCCGTCTCCTGCCTTCTTAGCAATACAAGTTATCCCTTTAATAAAAAAATATTGTTGTTTTTTTCAGAAGGTTTCAAGTTAAAAATCCATTTCAAAAACATTTCATTTCATCAAAAAACAATTTATCAAAAATTTGAAAAAACAAAAAAACTACTAAGCTTCTTAGTTTATAAAGATTACTTAAAATTTTTGACATCTTGTCTTTGTAATTTAAAATTTTTAATTATCATAGCGGGACAGGATTACGTCAAATGAAATGTTTTAAATACGATATCTGGACTTAACGCGATGATTTTTTTTGCATATAATTAGCACCTCCATACCTGCTTCTTTATTGCCGATGTTACGACGTGGGTTGTTCCGCGGACGTTAAATCCCGTTTGTGAATTTAAAATATGTGTAAATAACACGAAATTTTAAAATTTATTAAATGAGGTGTCTTTGAGTAGATATTATTAATTATTATTGTTCAATTCCATCAGAAATGTAAAACTTGCTCTATATATTTTCAAGCATGCTAGTCCGTTGAAGAGAAGAATGTTATTGGATTGCAATGAAGCGGTGGAAAATTCTAATCTGCATACTCCACGTGCATAATAGGAGACGGTGCCCGCAAGTGAAGGCATCCGCTAATGAAGCGGAACGAATTCATGGCTGATCCCTCGGAGGTGGCTCCGTAGTAGGTGGCTAGTGGCCGGGTGGAGCCCGCCGCGTGCCGCGCCGCCTCCCACGCAGCACTGCGATATACATTCGTCCTCAATTCACACAGGATTGTAAATTATAATAATAACTTACACCTTATTAATCTAAAGGTAACACGTACTTTAAAATATCAAGAGCTCCATCGCGCTGGGACAACTAATGAACAACATTTAAAAAAAACATCCAAATAAACGGGGTTCTCAATTTAGTTTGAATTTTTTAAGACTATTACGATATAACAGTTATATATAACAGTTAAGCTAGTAAGGCGAAGTTTTAAATTTAGTCTTTTACTAAGAAATAATTGATTTATTATTTCCGTTCTGAGAAATGTATAGAGATCCCGTTATAACATATGTACGAGTAATTATTATATATTACAATTTATTTCGAACATCTGCTACTGAACCACTAATAAATATGAAACCATTACAAGTAATTAACTATTGACTGGATTTGAAAAAAGAAAATTCTGATATTTGTATCGAGTATGTTCACTAGTCACTATGTATGCATGACAAGGTATGGACGGGACAAGGCGTGTGCGACCGAGAGACGCAAGGTCGTTTTAGCTTTTGCATCTGAAGTACTTTAGTTTTGTATTCCTGTAAAATATTTCCCTTAGATGAGAAAAAACGATTACTTTTATAACTGATTAAGATTATAACAAGGAAACATCTTTGTTTGTTATAGAGGCGCTTTTAAACTTCTAAACGGATTTTAATAATTCCTACTTTACTTTTTATGGCAAAGAAAATTCTCATTAGAAAGCAGATTATTGCACGGTAATTGAAGTACCTAGACGTAAGCAAGGCCAAGCTAAGCTGTTGATTAGAAATAAATAAATGCGTGTTCCAGACTTTTCGATAATTTCTACCTTAAAGAATATAATATAATAAAGGATGAAATTTTGTTCATTATTGATTAAGCTTTGGAGTATAAAACCGAAAGTACGTGTTAACATTTATAAAAATTTACCTCTGAGTTAACTCTTTGTGGTAGTGATATCAAGCCAAAAATTATAAGTTTCTTTTTATATTTTTTTGCATTTGATGTGGTGAAAGATATATAAAATGGGGGTTAGCAATATAAGCGAACTCCAAGAGGATGAAGTCGCGAGCTACGTGGGTGAAACCGAAGGATACATCTAGTAAATAATAAATGAAGAAATACGTATCAATATAACAATATGTAATAATACGTAACAATATGTAATAATAAAACTATATTTTTAACTAGCTTCATATCCGCAGTCAACTGTGGATGATTATTATAATATAATGTAATTATAATAACACTTGTATAAAATTTCATACCGCGAATTAGACTCACTAGTCTGTCGGTCAGAGTTAAAGTTACGAATATGAATTGAGGATTATTAAATAGGTTTAGATATTAAATTATGTCAACAAACATAAGAGAGACTGAAAATCGTTAAAAAATAGTGTGGGTCCAACACAGGTAACCTTACCACCGACTGCAGAGATAATCACTGAAATTGGTTTCAAATATACATATAATGTCTCACATACACACGCATGCACGCACACTTGTTTGCACGCACGGACGCACACACGCACGCACGCACGCACACACACACACACATACGCACAAAATCATAATGCCGTTGAATTGATAGATAACTTTCTCCTTTTTGAAGTTGATTGTATGTTCCAAATAAATTGACATTAAATATGTACGTCATTATTATACACGGTGTGCCTAACGATTGAAAACCGTCCGAAGGTAAACCTGCGAGCGAGCTTATAAACATCACACGCTGTGCATACGTGATGCACAATAACTATTCATGTTTGTTAGTTTATGTACACTGCTGTGCATATGGGAGAGCAGAATCACAGACATTATCAATACTCATACTATATTATATTACTAAAAATGGCAAACAAGCTGACAGCCCACCTGACGGAAAGCCGTAACCGTCGCCTATAGACATGAGCAGTACCATGGATATAACAAAGTATACTGTTTCACCCATGATACTTCCCACGCGTTGTCATTCCCGAAGACTAAAGTGTTATGTTTTTATACCATGTAAATTCACTGGCATAGCCCACTCCTCAAACCGAAACACAGCCATGCAAACACAACTGCTTTACGATTGAAACACGAATGAGACAGAGGTATCCAAGCAAACAAGTTTTGTATAAAGTCTCCTTATGTTATATGCAATGAATGTATTTATAGGCAATGAAGTGTTTAAAGACGCGGAGGTGCTCAGGTTCTGTTCAATTCTGCCGAGAGACTTGGCTGGTCATCGCTCAGCATTTCATTTGTATGTACGGATCATGGAGGATGACGGGCGGTAATGCGATAACGCGCCACAGTAGGTATATTGACAATACAATATCGTGGAACGTAGCAGCGGCCGCTTTATCCTTCGTGAGCGGCTCCGCGCGCGGCGTCTTTGCCCGCTGTTATTGGATTTCCACGACACCACTCGTTCATACGAGAATACAGTCTAATAGGATCACAGCCCTCGCGCCTTGCACGGTTTCCTTCTCTCGTAGCGTATATAGTATAGTAGCTGTTATAGTATCGCACGTATTACTAAAGTAATTGAGACGATTATTTATTTGTTATTCAAACTGTTCGGTGTCTATGTACAAGTAAGTGATAATGTAGTTAAATCAATTCATCTTTATTCCTAATTTAAAAAAAAATCCTTTACATATTTTAATTACAGGTATTAATACTCTTATTATTATTCATAATCTAATTAGTACAGAGTTAGAAACCATAACAAATGGCGAGTCAACTAATGACCCAAAACTACTAAAACATTGTTTTCTCTTTGAAGTGTTATCCTCCATGCAGTGATGTGTGTGAACATGCCACGTGTTCCTGTTTCTTTTAATCGGTGGAATGTCGTGAGAGACGATTAAGGGATACAATATAACAGCGCAAGAAAAGGATATTAGGCCAGCGCTCGCCGCCAGTGAGAACGGCGTGTTCCAGTGGCATGCGAGCTCGAACTATAAACAGGTTATAAGTTCGGAATAAAACATAAAAACTTTGTGTCAGTTTAAAATATTTTATTTTATTTTTATTTAAATATTTAAATACGTCGATGAAGTAAGACATCAAAAACAGATCAAATTAATCCTAGTCACCGTGGTAGGCTCGCCGCTGTCGTGTAAGTTTCTAATATACGCGGCGAAATGTGGGCGTGCTGAGCCAACGTTCAACGTTCACCACAAATGCAACAGTTGACATATACTTCCCCACTGGAAATTAGAATCGTAAATTTATGTATGTATTATTAATAATTTAACACCAACGAAAACAAATGAAATAAATATTGATATAGAACAAATAACTTTAAAAAAATCTAAAAACAGCATTTCAATTTATACTCGTACTAACGTTTCAAAAGATGTCCCGCATATTACTCTTTGCCTATTCCAAAACCATTGTGTTGACTTTTTCACTACTAAAATATATGGTCCTAATTTCGATATGATCGACGCGATAATCCCAGACGGGGTAATCGAAGGCATTTGTCGACTGTTGTGTAACGTATGGCGGGGGCGGCGCGGCGCGGTGCGGTGCGACGACGACGATGACGGTGCGGGCGCGGGCGCGGGGCCGTCGACCGTGGTGTACGATATCCCGACAGACACTTGACGGCCGCATTACACGCGAGAGATAAACCTTCAGCCGGTAATCTTGAGTGTCATAACACGGTCCAAGGGCCGTTTATCGTCGCCGATACCTCCATCCGTCCCCCACTATCCGAACCGTACCACCCTATCGTCCTCCGTCCGTTGGGCGCGCTCTCCTGTGACTCCATCCGCGAACTATCAACTCTCCTGTATATACCTACATATTTCAGCAAGGCATGATTGCTACCATGCCCTGCTGTTCATGAACAGTATTGGTAGTTGGCACGAATTAGGGTTGACATTGCACACATGTCACTTTGTGATGGTCCCCCCCTTTTCGCACCCCTTATAATAACTACCCTCTAAACTAAGCTACACATGGAAAACTTACAAAGCCTAAGAAAAGCCTACGAAGGCTTAACCTAATGAAATCTATGAAAATCCAATGAAACCTACTCTAAAGAATGGCTTAACACCCTCAATATAACCCCATACCTATATTGCCTTATACACCCCAAACATCCTATGAATCATATAAACCCTTACAATAAACACATAATATTGAACAGATCTTATAGTAGAACACTTGATCATCTGGCCAGATAAATAAATGTGTGATCGTCTAGTAATGTAGGACCCGTTGTGTGTGTAATAACCAAAAGGTTCTTTAATTGGTATATGATAGGAGTTAAATAATGAAGATTATTGATAAATATTTAAGGATTAAGAATAATTAATGAATTATGCTCATAATTCATGTAACTAGGAAGTTAGAATATAATATATTAATTTAATAGTAAATTACAGAATAACTGTAATAATAAAAAAAAATGGGGGAGCGGTCGGGCCCCTCACACGCCCGGACCAGTGGAAGACTTTCCAACTATCTATAACTCTTCCTCCAAAAAGGTAGGGAAGGGTATTACTATTTATTAATGCACTCTGATGGTAATAAGGGAATGAGTATTCTCAGTTCCAAACCAAACATAAGTACATTTACTTCAACATTACAGTGGCTCCACCAGCCCCACGATGCTTCCAGTATAAATTGGTGTTTGCCAGAGGCAAAAAGATCGGAACTGAAATCCCAGGATCACACCGACACGAGAGCTTACTCATGGGCGATGACCCTTTCAGTCCTATATGGCGACATAGAGATCACCCACTAACAGTACGAAACTGTTTCCCAGCGTCACCCTGTTACGAGCTTACTCAATGGGGGTTTCCCTTCGGCTCCACAAGAGATCAGACCAAGAAGCGAGATCACCCAGACACCAGAACTTACTTTGTTGGGACATAACCCTTCGGCCCTATAATGTGACATTAGAGATCACCTGTGAAGACAGTCCGATAGAGATGAAGATTTGTGTGATAGGGGATACCTTCCACACCCTGGAATTGGCCAAGCCATATAATGTTGATAATTGCTATATCATAACATAGCATTGTCAATTTAATATTATTTACTTAATACCAAGAATACTCAAGGTTCAAGTTAAATCTGTTGATTAGGCCGGAGCCTAAGAACGAGTAGTCCAACCCATAGGTCGAGAGCTACTAAAAGTAATGAGTGCTATTGAATGAACTATAAGTCCAGTCAATTATATATAATATTATTGTTGATTAACCACATTGTGAATTAACCAATTATTTATTCAGAGAGATATATCTAAAGGAACTATAAGTCCTTTAAAAGACACTGATTAATCACAAGTTAACAACGTCTCGTGAAATAACCAGTTGGGTTTTCTATAAGTTTGAGGACACTAAGTCCAACAAGCTATTATTGTGTTGAGAGTAATAGAGATCTTTTGTAATATTTGTAGAGGTTTGATTAATCACATTGTGAAATAATCAGATTAAATAATTATGCAGCTTTATAGAGAGGACTATAAGTCCTAATTGGTTGTTGCCATGAATACTGATAAATTACACATTAAAGTGCCAGGTCAAATATTATATATATAGGTATATAGGAAGGACAATAAGTCCTATTTGTGTATGTTGTAGTAGTAGATGTATATTGAATAATTATAATGTGAAATATATATATATATATATTAAATATATATTTGTATAGAAAGAACAGTAAGTCCCATACAATTATTGTAGCTGTACTATAGTTATACTATGTCTACTTCCTTTTAGTGTCTTAGTAAAACCTATTTACTAAGAGGATTTCTCAGACAAACAAGTGTTTTAGTGTTTAAATCATCATGATTAAATCCCTAAGAAATTAGGTCTTTAAATAATTATCATATCATTTAAGTAAAATTTCTCATACAAATAATTCCAATATTTCCCCTACAGTTATTATAAAATAACAGAAAATTATATAAATTTTCTATAGACTTAGATATAGAATCATAACGTGTATAATCTCCTTTTGTTTGACATCTGTCACATTAATGACGTATTGAATGACGTATTGATGTATTGAATTGAATTTAGATTATCTATCACAACTGTCAACGTAACAAATACTAGCAAGTTTGTTTATTTGTATTTGTTTAATATAATTAAATATAAAATCATCATATATCAACCGTAATATACAACTAAATTATCAGTGACATAAATAATCATGGTTTACACCAGAAATAATTAATAGTATCCAGTAATGCTGCAGTTTTATATTCATATCAGTAGCCAAGCTTACTTTCAAATTCAAGAATGAACAGAAGATTAGAAGTTTAACATTCTTATTGCAATTGTACTTGCAATAATATATACATACAGTACTAATTATCAAGAACATTCCTCAAATACATGTGTGGTGAAGATTTTCCCAATATGCTATCTATTTGATTTCTAACCTCTAATGTAAATTTATTAAAGAAGTGAATAATCAGTGTTAGTGTTTGCTTTATTAATATTTAAAGTAATTGTCCTAACTTGATATTAATAGGATCATATCTCCTTGAATACAGTCCGATATAAACATATAACTCAATAATTAAATTTATAAAATACTAATATTATATTTTACTACTTGTATATCTCCATACTATTCCCATAAAATATTCAAAACATGTATATTAAATATAAATCCAGTAAATATTCACTAATATTAACCCTGTCTGAACTTGTCTAGTCAATATAACATGAACAAACAACACACATACAAACCTTATCGCCATGACAACTTTCCTCCTAAATATGAGTAAAATACATAACTTATACTTGTCATTTAATACTAATTTTATACTGTACCTCATACCTAGTTAAGAATAACTATAGTCAGAGAATCCTTTAGTACATTTATTACCATTAGGAAATAAATCCACACCCATAATATCAGCATAATTAAATATTATTAGAAACCAGTAATACATACAGAATTGTTATTATCAGCTTGCTTACTACAATAAAATCAATATTAAAGTTTATAATAAATCAAGACAAAATATCTATTTAAACAATACAGGCTTGTTTACCATAAACACCCCACAGTCACATGAATTTATTTAGTAACACAATTAATAATGTATTAAAAGTATTACATTCACATAATATCACTTGCAACAGTTAAGCTGTCTCTTTGTACATCTGGTGTAAAACAAATCCCCACATGTAGTCATGGATAATCAAATATAGACTAAGAATCATTAATCTGGTCGACCGAGTAATGGTATAAAAACACTTCACCATGAAGCGTTAAGTATGAACAGATATTCCAAACCAACACTGTAATAGTGTAATAAATACAAATATTTCATCATCATCATCGTCTCAACCATCACCAACCCACGACTGAACACAAGCAATTTCCACCGACTGACACAAGGAACGGCCCCACAATACACATAAAACAGTCACTCCAAACAATGGAGGTAGCCCACACCGCACTTGCATTTACAGGGTCGCCACTCAATAACCCCTCTCTCTCATCAATGGCTGTTTCCCCAGCAATGAGACCAGACCATAGTCACTTTAGTCTATTATCCTCAATAAATAAATACTTTATAATAACTAGATATGAAACTAGTTAGTATTGTAATAGT